TCCCACAGAGTGCGACCACCAAGGAGACATCCCCTCTACACCCAAAACTCCCCTTTCTATTGTAATTACCTACCCCTGTGGGAAAACAAATGGGCACAAAATACTCAACTAGATCAGACCACTCACACCTGCACAGTACCGCTTGTCAATCACAGGTGCCAATCAAGGGGTCCCACTCCCAAAGGGGAGCAGCCCATTCTAGAGAAAAAGAGGATAAAAACTCCAAGTCCTGGGAAGTCCGCCCTGCTCTTTTTGACTGCTTCTTCCCTTTTTGAACCCCTTCCTCCCTTTTTTGAGCCTTTTGAGCCTCACCTTTGTGCGTGGACTGCTCCAAACTCTTTGGAATGTAATTTCTCTTCTAATAATGGGCCCTTAAGCCATTCTCTACTGCTCAGGCCTACTTCTACTTCTTTGAAATGTATTGTCTCTTCGAATAAACTTTTTCACTCCTTTACTCCGGCATCTAGTTCAATTCTTTGAGTTGCCAAGGACCTGGACTTTGCACCGAGAAGGGCCCGCTCTCCAACACTTACAGGCTGAAAGGGATCCCAGGCAATCAAGTTGCTAACAAGGAAATGGCTGGTCTCAGGAGAGGATGTTGTATTGGGGCCTCAGTGTTGGCTTCTGTTGCTGGCAGGTTGGATATTCAGTAGTGGTGACAGATACAGTAGGAAATTAGCTGACATGATGAGGGTCTGCTCTCAATTATCAGCATCCCTGGTTTGAAGGGTGGCAGAATGGTGAATTAAATGACATGACGGGGGCCACCATCCTTGGAGTGTTGAGTGGATTAAGGGTAGCAGGCCCGGACCCGGTTGGAAAATAATCTTGTTTCTATTAATCTTAGAAAATGTATGTTTAGCTCACATTTATTTCAGTGTTTAATATTAGAAGCATGTTGGGTCTTTATTTAGAAGTTCGGTGATGTTTGTGTGACCATAAGTATGCCGTAGGAACTTAACCCTTGTTTGTATCAATTAGCCAGTGGTAAAATTGGTTTTGTTATATGTTGTTTTGCTTCAAGTCAGTTTCCAAGAACCTATTGACAACACTGAGGACTTACTGGTACTTACAATTACCACTTTCCTTGAACCTCTCAAATACACAGATCGTGCGCGCACCAGCTGTCTCACCAGTGAATGTTTTGACAATTGCAGGGCCACAGCCTGTCCAAGGCTAGCAGCACTCCACTCCCCACCCCCTCCCCCCGAGTGATGGTGTCGTCACTGACCGCCTGGTGACCCAGTTCCAGATCCCATTGAAGAGCCTCCTTCCTTGGACCATTCCTGGCACCAATGGTTTTAGTTATGCTTCTCAGAGAAACAAGCTGAGGTGGAGGTGTACATGCAGGACTTTTACTGGGGAGTGCGTTCAGGGTCAGTGCCTACAAAGAAGGAAGAGAAAAAGAATTCCATGCCAGGGGAAGTTGAACTATGATGCACTTGCAGTAAAGACCTAAGGCAATCCTATGGAACATTCTGGAGCTGGGGAAGCCCTCCGAGTTGTCCTAATCAAGGCAAGGGGGCAGCCGCTGGATGAGGCTACCTCTGCAGAGGGGGTGTGGCCTTGGGCCGTGCAGCTTCCTTCTGCCAAGGGCCATTCCCAGAGAGGGACACGTGTGAGACCTCAGAGGCTAGCAGTCCTGGCTGCTGAGGGAAGGAGGGCCTGTCTGGAGGGGAGGGCTGGCTGCACACAAATGCATCCACTATGGGTACATGCTGAGCTGCTGAGTTCATGTATCATGGTTAGGAGATCAGAGAGGCCCACCAGCCCAGTCTTCACTGTCACACCGTAGTTACTAGGGATCTTGCTTCTCGAGAAGCCCAATCACAGCTCACTGTTGTGATTGTAAATGATGTTCCTAAAGGAATTCCAGAGAATGAAGGCAATACAGTAGCAGTAGTTTACTGTCTATAGAAACATTAAAATCTACTTTTGATGGGTAAAATAAGAGGGGGAGGGATGGGAGGGGCAGGATGGAGGGAGGGAGGGAAGAAAAAAATAAAAGGGTAAAAGCCAAGTCCTCCCAACTCGCTGCAGCAGCCATTTCTACTTAACATTGTTATTATAGAAAGTTTGTCTACTTCCCCACATTTTAATAAACAACATTTGCTGCTTTTTGGCATGGCTGGAGAGGGGACATTTTAAAACCATGATGCTGAATTCATGACAATGGCAAACTTAAAGAAGTCTACTACAATTAAAAATATATATGAAGTTAGAATGAACAAAATAAAGTGCCTACTAATGTATGTGGCATGTTTAGATGTCCAAATTAATGTAACTTATGTCCCCCTGAAATTAAATTCAGTACAATATAGGTACAGGCAGAAAAAGTTTTAAATTATTTTTATCTTTGTAGCTGCAAATTATGTTAAATCCCCCTCCCCCCCCCAAAAAAAAAAAACCAACAAAACAGTAGTTGAAGTGGTATCTCCGGATCCGTAAACCTTGTCTTAAACTTGTCATTTCGGATTCTGTTGAATTCTTCAGAAGTTTACTTCCAGGGACCTGTAATCCTTTCACATGATTCAACATTAATTCATAGGCAGGACTTTTATCTTCAAACAGCTTCAGGGTTTATTTCTCTGTGAAATTCTGTAAGTTGGAGATTATGAGCATGAAACAATCAGATCAGGCTTTTGTTTAGAGTTTTGAATGTGTTCGATTTCCATCCTTGTGAATGTAGTGAGTAATGGATTTTATTCGTTTCTAAAATGTATCATCTCACCTTATCTTTATTATTCAGAAAATTAGATTCCTGGCTAGGTGGGTTTTCAACAAACTAAAGACAAACTTTCTATGCGTTCATTAAGACATTTGTTTAAAATAAAATGAAAAGAAAAAGATTTGTTGATACTGCTGGGTTCATTTCAAAATGTGCGCNGTTACAGCTGAACGATGAGTACATGAAGGTTGATTATGTAATATTATACTATTCTCTCTACTTTGTGTGTATTTGGAAAAATCCATAATGAAAAAGCTTTAACACTAAAAAAAAAAAATTGATATTTAAGAGAACATCAAAATATATAGAAATGAAATCCTATACCCAAGGACTGGAAAAAGCATAGAATAAATAATCTGGAAAAAATAACTGTCAGAAAAACCTGCTTCATATGCTTTTTGCTGATTTCTTATCTATATTTGAAATGGAATAATCCAAATGTTATCTGACTAGTTTTGAAATTGATGATTAAAAAAATGATAAATTATCATCTACGTTCTTTTGGTAACTAATACTAGCACCAATTTCAATAGAAAGAGTATCAAAACTATCAATTTAAGAAAGAAATTCAGTGAATTAAAAGATCTGTGATACGCTCAGTGAACATGTCCTTCCTGCCGCAAAGAAATAATTTGGAGACAGAGAACATAAATTCTGCAAATCAATTGTCTGTAATCTTTAAAGAGGCAAAGGTGCTCTTCCCCCCCCCCCAAAAAAAAAATCTGATGCCGTAGATCACAAAGTGAAACAAAATTGTAAGTGGTGGAAGGAAAAGAACACTCATAATGGTCCTGCTTTTCCAGGGATACAGCAAAGGAAGCCAGCAGCATTCAGGGGTTAAAAATAAGTCCATTCACCACATGCCCACACACATTCCGTATAATGACAGCTGTAGATCTAATTTTAAAAACATACTACATTTTCAAAATACTTCTGAAACATCTATCTAAACAATGGATTAGAACTTGATTAACAAATAAATAATTGAAACACCGAAAGCTCATTGAAGGAAAGAGGCAATCTGGATGCCTTCCCATACAAACAAAGCCCTTTTTGTTCAGCAAAATGTTTTCTACTGAATGAAAAGACTGAACGTTTTAATTTTCAATTTGTGAGGGGAAAATGATTTACTCTTAGTCACTGGTTTGTTTTTAACCCCTGAGTTACAACAACCCAGAAAATAAAGGTATTTATAAGATGCTTAAACCAGAGCATGCTCTTAGGTCAGGTTCCTGCCAATATCACAGGGAGACCCCAGCAGAAATGGCCTTTCAGGGTTTTCCTCATGAAGGCAAGGGTACCGGGCCTTCCTAGCCTCACATAAGCTCATCTCTAGATGCCACTGGAAATGGGCTGTAACGTTGGGCCATTCCTGAGTGGGACTGACTGATGAGTCCCGTGTGTATGCAGCTGTCATAGCCAACTCTTCCGGCTGCTTGGGAAATGGATTCTTTGGTCCTGAAGGGGAGGTCTAGGGAGTAAAACTCCCCATTTGTTACAGTGCACCCCTTGAGCCTCCCAGATCTAATACCTTCATAGAGTAATTCCATCCCTTCTGAAAATAGCTCCAGATGATTCTGAATGATCTTTTTCTGGGGAAACATATGAGGAAGGTTTGGCGGATACACTACAGCCCCTGCCACTACAGGTGGTGTCATTGTCTCCCCCTTCTACTGTCCTTTCTAGGTTCCCCACACCCTCGGAGAGCACTTCCGCTAGTCTGCGTTGCTTACCTGATAGGGTGACCCAGACTCTCATCTCTGAATACTCTGAGCCCTAGGTCACCATGAGGACATGGCTGTGGGGATGAATGGCCAAATTCAAGCCATAGCTACTGTACTTGCTCATTTACCATCAAAATTTGGCAAGGGAATACCCGTAACAGCCCGGGAATTACCTGGGTAGATGTGGCTTCAAGCAGGCAGCAGCTGTAGCTTCAAGTGTGATGGAATCCTTGCTGTATCCTGAGAGAAGGGTTCTGTCTCTGGGGACCAAGCTCAAGAGAGTCACTGTGCAGTGACAAGGAAGCACAAATCCCCAACGCAGAGCATTGGGAATAATGGTAAGTGGGGCCGGACCGACTTCCAACTCTTGTTTAATGGACCCATCAACTTTGCCTACAGGGAGCACAGCACTGTATGTCTGGCATTGATTTAAGGTCACCTCATCCTCACAGGGTATCACCCCCAGGCTGTCACCTGAGCTGTGTTTTCAGAAGGCTCTATTGCACCACAGCTTCTGGGTGTGGTGTGGTGTGGGTTGGGATCCAGTGGGATCCTGGGTCCAGGGTTCTGTCCTGTAGGATCCCCGGTCAGTTTATCCAATAATCTATAAGCTCATGGATGGTGAAGTCGCTGAGTCCCTGTGGGCAAAGCCAATTCTTGAGTATTACCAATTCCAGTCAAGATACATTATTGACACCCCCACCACTGAGAAACTTTTAAGTGTGCTTTCCTATAAAAATGTTAAGTATAGAAATGTTAAGTCTCCTCCCTAGTTTCTTAGTTNAAGAAGGTCTTCAGACTCGAGATTGCAACACCAACTCTTCCCTGGGTCTCAGCCTCCCACAACTGCATGAGCCAATACCTTAAAATAATGAGAGAGAGAGAGAGAGAGAGAGAGAGAGAGAGAGAGAGAGAGAGATTGAGAGAGGGAGGGAGGGAGAGACTGAGAGAGAGAGAGATGCATTGGTCATGTTTCCTCTGGGGAACCCTGACTAATACACAGTCATAGGGACAGCCCGTGTCATTACAGATCACAGGACATAGCACTCTGCTAATCTCTTCTTTATTGCATGCGCATGTCCAGTCCAGCTAGCTAGACTGTAAGGTTCTTGTGAGCAGGTACTACGTCTCCATCATCAATGTGTTTCTAACACCCAACAGAGAACCTGCACCAGGAATGAGTGACCATGAAAGACGTGTTGTTGAATGAAGCAGCACTTTCAGTGACAGTGGCTCTGATGCTAAATGCTGGGTTTGGCTCATCTGCAGGTCAGCATCCAAACTAACTCACTGGAGAGGAGGAGCCAGAAGAGAAAGAAAAGGAAAGAGCAAAAAACCTCCCTTACCAGTAGTTTTCAATTACCAGGGCACTTTATCTTACATGTTTTTCCTTACACAGCCACCTGAAGATCTGTCGAAGACAATGATTGTTCACAGTGCCTCGAGCAGACCATATTAGGGAGGTTTCCACAATGTGGGACTTGGCCTACACTGCTTTAAAATTAAAATCAAGAATTCTCTTTTGAAATAAGATATATTTAAATAGAGTAAAATATAAAGAAAAATGTTATCTGTGATTATCACCCTCCCTGTAGAATTTCATTGCCCATTTTAAAAGAGGAAATTATGACCTGCAACTTTAGGATCAAAATACCATTCCTGAAAATCAAGATGAAATCCCAGAAAACCTCTGCAGACAGCCTTCACAAAAGTTTTTTTATCATTTTCCATATTCATCTTTGACAAGTCATCTGAATCCTTATGTGAATAAAGAACCAATTGGTTTAGTTTTCTGATCAATCACACTATTTCCAATGAGCACCAATGCCAACAATCCTGTCCCCTGAGAAAAGTGATTTATAAGTATGTCAAATGGAGATTTTCTTTTACTTCCTGTTTTTACTGCTGTGCCTTCAGCTGTCAACCCAGAAT